GAGGGCGACTTCTACTAGCTGGATTATTTGTTTGTCGCGAATGGTTGGTACTTTTATTCCAAGGTGTTTTCTTGATTACAGGATAGAAGATAATAAGCTGAACGAGGTTTGGTGCAAAAAACGCTTAACTAAGACTGAGAAACTGTGGTGCTGGTGGTCGACGTTAAAATCGTGTGACATAGGGCAGAACATTCTGGCACCTCAGACCTCCGGTAGTTTTGGAAAATACAGATGACAAAGTTGACCCAGGTAGCCAATTCAAGGATTGATTGTGTGATCAAAACCCGAAATTTTTTGTCTTTAGCAAGACCAAACTTGCTCACACTTATCACCAAGAGCGTTTTGCATCAAAGTGACTGAGATGACCCATGGAGATGACACGGTTATGATTGCATATGACTCACTGCCAGTACATGTAAACTCATTCACTGTTTATCTATATATTTCTGAGTTAGACAGTCCGCACATTTTGCCTTCGCGATTGTTCTCAGTAAGCAAAATGATAGTACACTGCAATATACACGCTGTCGTACTGCTTCATGGAAGTTATTAAAAGAAATCCATTGTTTTATGTTTGATACCCGACAGTCTGTGATCTCAAGCTTTAGTGAACAACCTGCAAGGGTTTGGTAACTATCGGACAGCTATATACAACCTAGCTCCAAATTATAGCAGTCTGTCTTCTTAATATATCTGTCACAGGTTTCCCCAAGAAAATCCACCGTTTAAATGGATAAGTAAAACGTGACAACTCTTGCAACGAATATGGTTTCATTTTGTGCAGTTCAAATATGTTATAAACTCATAAAATGGAACAAAACATGACCGTCTGACAATTAGGAGATTACTCAGGATGTCACGAAGTTACTGAAATTTAACATGATTTATGGAAACGTTTCCCTTTCAGAATTCGGAAACAAAGTCCATTTATCGTGCTGCTCAAACCTTGTAACCGTATGATAGCAAAATTGCAGAGTTGCTTCCATTCGTTTCTAGTCCGACTTCCAACATCGATTATTAGAATGAACAGTATGGGCGCCATGCTTCCAACCTCTGCAATCCGGAAAAGATTCAATCTTTGTGCTTTCCAAAATACTATAATTTGGTGACCACTAGCGACTGCCTTGTCGTCTCAGCAGTGTATATACGACCGCTGTGCTGCTGCCCGTACTTAGCGGAAATCACAGCAGAAGCTGTCTTTGATTTCAGCTAATAATATTACAGAGGTATCTGAAAATAAGTTTATTGACAGTCTAAACGCACATCGACGGTGACGACCTGTTACAACAAATATGCTAAATTCAGAAGCTCATCACCCGGACATATCAGTAAAACAGTACGGTGTTCTTTGACGGCTAGAAATGAAATTTGGGTAGTTTGGATTGTTGAGCTAATATTTGCCTGTGTTGAACAATCAGCCAGGGATCATGCGGGGT